TTCTATTTAAATTATTTATAACCCACAAGAACATGGCGTCACGTCAATCCCAATACATGAGTGTGATTCTTTTTGAATTATAACCTTGCAGAATCTATATTCAGAGCTCACAATTTTAATTTGATTTTGTTGTAACCTCCACAGTTCGTTGTCCGTGCTTGGACAATACTCTCATGCCCTCGGACCAATCACAGATAGGTGTAGTGGTCTTATTCAGCGTCGTTCCCTGTAAAAGATGCTCAGCTCATTTATGCCGCTTCAGTATCTACCTTGGGACGACATTCGACTTGAAGGAAACCCAACTCGATCTTCAGCAGTGAACACATTAATTAAGCGCGTCATGAAGGTTGAAGTGCGTCATCAAGGGGTTGAGTCTCAGGTAGTGCGTGCGATCGACTTTCGTGAGTTCATGAGCTTGCTAACGATTATTCGAACGAATGAGAAGTTCAAGACAATCGATCGCTTTCGGATGGGAGCCATTTTGGCTCTGCAATGGCATCTTATCGGCCGCATCGACGACTTGGTGAAAGTTAAGCTCAACAACATATCCATCAACCACACCATGCATTCACTCACATTTGCCAGCTCCGATAGTCGAAAAATATCGCGGAGGAGCGACAAGCGCCGCACTAGGTTGTGTTGGCCTCTACGGATGATCGGCTGTGTGTTCTGCTGAATTTGGCTATCTATTTGGAGTTGCGTGGGGACCAGCAAAGTTGTACCAATTCATTTTTGTTTGCTGATGGTGAAAATGGCGACAGATGTGCCAGGTTGATCCTCAAAGCCACTTTCGACCTCGATCAATTCACCAAATTAGTCGATGGTCATCTTGGTACACACAATACAGCCGACGACAGAATTTAAGAAACATCGAAGTTTGAATCAAGCAAAAATAATATTAGCCAATAGAATCCAATTCAGTCTCAAAACCAAATTCTATTGGCTTAAAGAATATATTTCGCGGTGAAAATTGATTCGAAATTATGTCCACACCTCCCAAGTGGCGTGCAATGGAGGTCGTGAGCGCCCGTCAGAATCCACGAAAAACGTACTCAATGGCCGTAAAGCTCAAGATGATTGGCCTACTCATGGACACCAGCCCACGAGAGCTATCCAAGGCAACAGGAATACCCCACGCTAACTTGCAACGTTGGAGGACAATGGCACCCGAGTTCCTCGCCTTCGAAGGTGACAAAAAGCGCAAGAATTTTGAGGGAGCAGGCCGACCAGAATGTATGCCAGACTCCGAAGGTCTGGTCAAGTTCATGGACAAAATGCGTGACGACGAGCGGGCACTCACTTGT